ATGTTGTGTTGACAGTGAGTACAAATGGAAAAATAAAGCCCTGCTGATGTAAAACGATTCCTGAATCCAGATGTGGCAGGGACAAGGGGCCTTCAACATTCATGACGCGGGTCAGGTCGTAAACATGTCTGGTGTCCCCGGCATCCTCTGGGGACGAGGGAGGGGGCTGCACGCAAACATGGGGACGTATCACCTGCTGGACATTCAGGGCTTTCAAAGACAAAACCTGCTTTCAAAGTCCAAAGTGCTGTGCAAGGTTCGGGGGAATTTAGAATGCTGTCTTTAGCCTGGCCAGTTGAGATCCTGCGCTTTAAAGTCAAAAACCATGATAAAAAATGACCAGGCAATGAGTGTTCCAGTAATTTGAGTGGCTGTGCAAGTCCTCTCATTTCTGCTGCTGATGACAATTGTCTCCCCCCCGTCCGAGATGGTCTGGCCATGAATCCCTTTACAAACAAGGCTTCAAGTCAGCCTTATTTTCCCCTTTGTCCTGAGGACTTCTGGAGGGACTGTGACAGCCCCCAGAGCTGTGATGTTTGAGAGACTTGGCCTCACCATCCAGGCTGGTGTCCTTTCCAGGTGGAGAGACCAGGTTTTGCTTATGTGACACATTCTTGGCCACCCCACGCTGGCGTTTGGCGATCACGTTTCCTTTTCTAAGCTCATCCCAGCCCTCCAGCCCCGCTGACACCCCACCCGCCTTGTGGAGTCCCCACAGCCCTGAGGTCACCCTCCAGCCCTGTGGGTGACAGTGGGCACACCGGCCAACCTGGGGGCTCCCTGAGCGCAGGCCCAGGTCCCCTTCCTGTTCTCTAAAGTCCCTTCATTCTGAGGGTCGCTCTCGGAGAGCTGGGCTCGGCAAAGAATATTGACCAACTGGAGCAAGCAGCGTCCTGTGGCTGGGGTCTTGCTCTCAGGACAGACATGCAAGCAGACGTGTAGACAGAGTGAAGGGGGTGAGGAGGGGACTCAGCTCCTCCCTGCTGGGGACACGGAGGCACCCCCAGGCCCAGGGCCGAGCTGGGCACGGTGTCCTGCAGTCCTGGTGAATATTCAGCGGGTCGTGTCCCCTTTGCCGGCTCCTGCCTACGCAAACAGCCACCTAGGAAGGGGGGGCAGACGGTGTGGTGGCAGTGTCAGTGTCGGGGGACAGTGGGGAGGGCAGAGGCAGGGCGCACTGAAGCTGGGAGCTATTGGAGGGAGCTGCTGAGCCCCAGCATGGACGGCCGGGTGTGGGGTGCCTGCATCCTTTGCGTGCTGAGCCGGGTCCCCTCCGTGAGTACCCGGCGTAGACCCTCCTGCCTCTCCTACCAGGCTCTACACTCGGGAGCCACAGGGCCCATGGGCGCCTGGTGGAGACGCCACTTCCCTGTCCCAGCGCAGGTGGCAGGCGGTGGCTGGGAGGACAGATCGTGGGCCTCCCTCCCTCATTGCTCCTCCCTGCTCGGTCTGCTCTGACCCTGGCAGCTCCAACACTTCCTTCCTGGGGCTGAGCTGAGCTCGCCGCCTGGTGCTTGTCCCAGGGCCTGACCATGCTCTCTGGGACCCAGGGAGACTCTGTCTGCCCCGAGACAGTGCCTGAGAACTGGGGAGGGAATGCCAGAGCCCCCGTTCACACCGCGAGTCTGCTGTTTCTCCAGGCCGTGGGTGCCTGGTGCCTGCACACGCTGCTGCGTGAGGCTCCCTCAGCAGCCCCCCAGCCCCAGCGCTGCCTGGGCCACACTCCAACTCCGTGGTTTCCTTTGACTGGCATGTGGCCGGGGACCGAGTGGGGCCTGAGTGGTTGGTAGAGACCAGCTGCTCCTGCTCCAGCATTTAGGGGACTCTCCCTGTCACGATGCCTGAGGGTTGGGGCAGCTCGGTGGCCTGGAATGCCGGGGTGTGGGGCACCAGGACAGAGTGTCCTCCCCGAATGTGCTACAGTCGCCCTGCATATTTCCCAGGAGGCCGTGCACGTGGCAGCAGGGGCCGGGAGGGGAGTCGCAGGTGCTGGGTGGGAAGCCCTGCCTGGCGGGGTGCTCCTCGGGGCTGGGCGGACTGAAATCTCCTCCTTCCTCCGCCGCCTTGCTGGGGAGCTGCCCGCCTCCGAAGCACTTGTGGCACCTGACTCTAGGCTCGCAGGCTTTGGGCTGGAATCCTGGAACCACGAAACTAGCTGGGTGACCACGGGCGAGTTCCCCACCCTTCCTGTGCCTCACTTGTCTCTTGCAAAAAGAGCGCTGTGCACCGAGTGGATCAAACTTGCCAGGATCTGGGCCGAGGGGTGCGCTGCAGGTGCCCTCCCTCTCAGCCCTGTGCACCCTACCGTAAAGCTTTATTTTTAGGAGGGGACCTGAGACCAGGTGGTGATCAGTGACTAGAAGGTGCTGGTGCCAGAGCTAGAACGAAATCCTTGTCTCCCGGCGTGGGCTCTGTCCCCATAGATGTTGGGATGAGTGGCATCACAGGCAGCGAGGCCAGGGCTTGGTCCAGGGCCGTGGAGTCTCCCCCAGGAGCAGGTGGAGTCCCCACCACGCTCTGTGTGTGCGTGTGTGTGTGTGTGTTGTTTCAAAATGCTCCTTTGTCCTCAGGTCCAGCTCAAACGCCATCTCCCCAGTCCCTGTGAGAAGGCCACTCCCCCGCAGTGCCTGTCCCGCCTCTGATCCCAGTTTGCATGGGGCCCTTAGGACCAGGCCTTCCCCTGCCCCCAGCCACTCCTCCCCTGTGAAAGAAACGTGGAGAATAGAAGTCCACGCTGGTTGTGCATGTTGTACAAAAATGTGTGTGTTGTAGACCCGGTCCACAGTGCAGGGAGCATGTTTTATAAAACTGGCTTCCCCAACACTTATACACTCAGGCTCTGCCTGTCCACGACCGACCGGATTTAGTTTTCCTCCAGCCTAGGGCAGTGGGAGGGAGAGGTGTTAGGAATTCCTGCAGGTGACTACCAGCTCCCCGGAGAACTTGTCGAAATGCAAAGTCCTGGATCCACCAAAGATCTCAGCATATCCCTGGCTCCAATCCAGTTGATATCCAGTTGGTTCTGGGGGTACACTTTCAGAAATACTGCTAGAAGATTTCCATAAAAACAACTGATTTTCCAGCTTCCAGAGACCATTCCTTGTGGCCACTGGGCAGCACCAAGTTTGGGGAGCTCCTAAAACTGCAAGCTTCGTGCTTGTGCAATCGTACACGCAGGCCATGATCCTTGCATCCCTCCACCTGTCCACAGGCCCCCGTCCATCTTTCCACGGCACCCCACTCATGCACCAGGCCTCCAGCCGAGCTTCCAGCCCACCCCACACACCCATCCACATATTCATCTGTCTGCCTGTGTGTAGACTCATCCATGCTGCCAGCCACCAGCCAGGCAGTCACCCATCCACGCATTCATTCATTCATCTATGCATCCACATTCATTCGCTCCTTTGCCTCATTTGTATACTCGTGTGTGTCCATGTCCTCTCTCACTTACTAATCTGCCCATTTGCTCACACATTCTTCCTTGAGTAGCCCTGAAAGCAGAACCCATGACAAAGGTCAGAAGTCCAAAATGGTTTCCTGTGGGCTAGAGTCAAGGTGTTGGCAGAGCTTCATCCCTTCTGGAGGCTGGAGAGGAGAGTCCGTTTCCCTGCCTGTTCCTTGGCTTGTGGCCCCAGCCTCCCTCTTCAACGCCAGCAGTGTAGCCGTGTGGCATCTCTGAATCTCAGGCTCCCTCTCCCCTTCCCATCATAATAAGGCTGATCTCTCTCCTCAAAACCCGTAACTTAACCTCATCTGCAAAGTCCTTTTGCCATGTAAGGGAGCATATTCACGAAATCCAGAGACTGGGACGTGGGCATCTTTGGGGGCCATCATTCCAAGCCCCCAAGGTAGTTTATGCAGAATCATTTCTAGGGAGCAGGATGGCAGAGCAAAGAGCAGTGGAGGGAGGGAGGAAAGGCCACTACGAGGATGGAGTTGGCCATTTCTGGAAGATCTTCTGAAGCACTTTGTTCGGTGTGTCTCAGAACTTGCTTCCATGAGATGGAAAGGGGAAGCTTCCTTCCTTCCCTCTTTCCTCCCTTCCATCCATCCCTACACCTGGACATCCATCACATGCACACCTGTACACACTGGGACACAGGCCTGTGCTTAGGATCAGGGGCACAGGCTCGAACCAAGCTTGGCCTCTGTTCTCGGGCTACATGCCCCAGAGAGCCCAGAAGGAGCACCTTGGCCTGGCTCACCCTGCCAACTCCTTCCTGCAGGCACTGGGCCACGTGCACCCAGAATGCGACATCATCACGCGGTTGAGAGAGGACGAGAGCGCCTGTCTGCGAGCAGCAGAGGGGATGCCCAACTCCACCGTGGGTACGGGCTTTGGCGGGAGGTGCGGCTTTTCCAACCCGTTGCCTTCTGCAGCCTCAGCATGTGGGAGCAGCTTTGCCCCTGGCTGAGACTGCCCGGCCCGTCTCTCCACTTAGGGTGCCCCAGGACCTGGGATGGGCTGCTGTGCTGGCCGCTGGCAGGCTCTGGAGAGTGGGTCACCCTCCCCTGCCCGGATTTCTTCTCTCACTTCAGCTCAGAGCCAGGTGAGGGGTCCTGGGTGTGGCAGAGAGAAGGGAGGTGGTTTCGTCTGGAAGTGGCAGAATTGGTGACACGTGACTGGCTTTGGGGCAGGCAGAGCTGGGTTTGAATACCAACTTCCCCTCTGCCAGTGTGACCCTGACCTTTTGCTTCTTGACCCTGACTTGGGGATAACATGAGCATTAACCATGGCACCTGTCCCTGCCGGACCCAGAGCTGGGCAAGGCGCATGTGCTCGCCAGATGATAGCAGGAGGCGTGGAGGAGGGCGGGGCCTGCGAATGCCAAGGTGCCACCAGCTGCCCGGGGCTGCTCCGTGCCCCCTCCCTGGCCTGGGTGTCCTCCCTACCCCCACTGCCCTTAGGATGCTGGTGGCCCAGCTCACTCCTCCCTGCCCCATCAGGGGAATGATTCTCTCTGTTCACAGATGGCACTTTTGAGGCCAGAGGGGAGGGCCCCAGAGTGCGTCCCAGGCAGGCGGGACCTGGAACCCGGCCTCTGGAGAGAAGCTCACCCTGTCTCTGCCACTAAGAGGGACTGCCTGTGCCAACCCTGCCAGGGTTACTTGATGGTCCACAGTGTCCCCACCCCTCCCGGGGAGAGGGAAGGAGTTGTGATCACAGCCTCTTGCTTGCCTCCCAGGGGCCGTGAGGCGGGATTGTACCATCACGGGGTGGTCTGAGCCCTTCCCGCCTTACCCTGTGGCCTGCCCTGTGCCCCTGGAGCTGCTGGCTGAGGAGGTAAGAGTTTCCTGGCCTCTTGGAGGCAGGATGGCCATGGTGTTTGTGTGGGTGGTGGACTGCACAACTGTGGGGGCTGCTGTTCCCATTCTAGCCGGCAGGTTGGATGACTAATTACAGCAGTTTTCTAGCAGAGGGCAAGGGTGGCACATGGGCCGAGTTGCTTGGAGGGAGAGGGACGGCAGACGGCAGGTGGGACATGTGCTGGCCACGGCCTCCTTCCTGGGCCCAGGCCTCCGGGGCAGGGAGCTTTGAGTGGTTCCTGAGAAAACAGGCTCCTGGTAGCCCTGGGCAAGCTCTTTCCCTTCCCTGGTCCCCCATCCGAGAGCAGTGTGCATGGCTGTGGTGTGGGCAAGTGAGGGGAACTCCGGCCCAGACGTGACCTCACAGACCCCCAACCCCAGCCGGCACCCCCCCCTTCTGCATCAAGCAGGGCCTTTGCACATCCATCCAATGCTTCCACATCCATCATCCCATTTCTCTCTCCCCTCGGCCCTGAAAGGTCTGGCTGTGACCATGTTTTCTGACGAAAGCACTGAGTCAGAGAGGGGCAGTGATTGCCTGCGTCCCGCAGAAGAGCTGGGACTGGGGCCAGTGCCTGGGCCCCTGCTCCCTTCCCTTGCCGGCACCTTCCGTCTCTGGGGGCCAGGCTGCACTCTGATTGATTTGAACACTTGGGCATTGGAAGCTTTTGCCTGCCTGCCTGCCTGTGGCTGTCCCCAGCTGTCCCTGGCTGTCTCCTTTATTTGGGGACGTTGTGTTCCCAAGCCGGCAGGCAAGCTGGATGTCGATAAACAAGCTGATTTCCTCTTGGGCTGTTGTCACTCCCCAGGGATATGTAGTTTCTGCTGCCGCCTCTCCCCACCCCAGAGCACAGTGAGTGTCTCTGCCCCTGCCACCGCCCCTCCCTCTCCAGCAGGCCAGGTGGAAGCCAGGCTGTACACAAACGCTTCAGTGCACAGGGGGGGCTTTCCATGGTACCCACAGACACCTCCGGCCCTGATGGGGAGTGTTGGGGCGGAACCGCAGAGGCTTCACCTGCTCAATTGCCAAGCCTTCCTTTCCCCGAAAGCCCAGAAGCTGAGACTGCCTTCTGTCTCCACTCTCCCCAGAAATCTTACTTCTCCACAGTGAAGATCATCTACACCATGGGCCACAGCATCTCTACCGTAGCCCTCTTGGTGGCCATCGCCATCCTGCTTGCTCTCAGGTGTGCCATCCTCATCACCACCTCAAGAACCTTCATTGGCTCCCTATTGCCTGGAGGACCAAGTCTGACTCCTTGCCTGGATAGCTAAGAGGTTCCTGGATCTAGGCACCATGTGCATGCCTAACTTTTCCTTCCCTTTTCCCCAACACGGAGACCCGTATCTCTTCACACACCAGGACTCACTGCTACCTCCACACCTTTGCAATGTGGCGCTCATTCTATTTGCTTGGAATGCCTCCTTTTTCTCAGTGTGTTTCCATCTGTCAAAATTCAAAGCCCAGCTCCCACCTGCATCTAAGAGTCCTTTTGCCTCCTACGCGGAGCTCTTCTGTACTGTTCCAACGCTCTGACCATTATTTCTTTTAAGGCCTCCCAGCCTTCGAAATCTGGCCTGTGCTGTTCTCTGTCTCCTGGGGATGAGCCTCCTCTCTGGTCACCCACAGGGTCCCACTGGCCCTGCCCTGCCACTTCTGCCTCTGTCCCCCTAGCACTTTTCTCTGTTCCTGCACCTACACCGAGCCCGGGGCAGTGGTTGGTCAGCTGTCTTGAAAGCCTAAAACTGAAGCCTCAAGTTCAGCCCAATTCAGTTCCGCTTGGTTCGATTCACTTCCACGCACCTCCTGCCGGCTCAGCCCAGCCTCACCAGGCGGCTGTCGCAGCAGCCCTGTCCCACCTCGCCTCCGCCCTCACGTCTCCCCCCCCACAGGAGGCTGCACTGCCCCCGGAACTACATCCACACCCAGCTGTTCGCCACCTTCATCCTCAAGGCAGCAGCCGTGTTCCTGAAGGACGCCACCCTCTTCCACGGCGGCAGCGCGGACCACTGCAACCTCTCCACTGTAATGGCCTTGGAGGGGCAGGGGCGGGTGGGGGAGAGCAGCAGGGGTTAGAGACCTCCATGTGCCTGCCCTGCCCTAGGCTCCCACGGGGCCAGTTACAGAACAGGAAATCGCCCCGCCCCCACCTGTGACGGGCCCCAGATCTTCATGCCCTTTCCCACGGGGCACAGTCCACATTCCGTGTCCACGCACGGCCACATTTCACCACGCCCAGCCCTGTCCTTCCCTTTCATACCGCCCGCCCCGAGCACTTGTCCGTCTGGGCAGAGCTGGGTCCCTCCTTCACAAAGCGCCCTGGGGACAGACTGCACACAGATTGTGAGACTCCCAGGTGGAGGAAGCTGAGAGCCGGGAGCGAATGAGAGAGGGCTTCAGGGAGGAGGTGGCTTTGGCACTGGGTAGGAGCAACTATGGGGGGGATGAAGAGGGAGGACATGACAAATGGAGGGACCAGGGCGAACATAGTCTCAAAGACAGGAGGAGCTGGGGTTGGGGTGGGCAGGGGAGTAAGAGGAGACCAAAATTTAAAGGAAGTTGGGCAGGGTGGGCAGGCCCAGCACCTAGTAGGTCCTCTAAAGTAGTGCCAGAAATGAACAGCTAATTAAGTAAACAAACTAACAAATGACCTCAGTTAATTAATGAAAGAATTAATAATAGTATATGATCAGCACTTATTATGGGCCAGGCACTGCAAGAAGTGCTTTGCATAAAACAGTCGGCCCTTAAACAACACAGGGGTTAGGGGCACCAACCCCCACACAGCTGAAAATCCACAGAGAACTTCTGACTCCCCCAGAACTTAACTACTAATAGCCTAGTATTGACTGGAAGCCTTGCCAATAACTCAGATGGTTGATTAATACGTATTTTATATGTTATATGCTTTATATACTATATTCTTGCAGCAAAGTAAGCTAGGGAAAAGAAAATGTTATTAAGAAAATCATAAGGAAGAGAAAATATATTTACTATTCATTAAGTGGAAGTGGATCATCATAAAGGTTTTCATCCTGTCATTTTCATGTTGAGTAGGCTGAGGAGGAGGAGGAAGAAGAGGAGGGGTTGGTCTTGCTCTCTCAGGGGTGGCGGAGGCAGAAGAAAATCTGTGTATAAGTGAACCCATGCAGTTCAAACCTGTGTTGTTTGAGGGTCAACTGTATTATCTCCTTTCATCTTCAAAACAGCTTGAAGGAGAAAGTATCACTTTTATCCCATTTTGTAGATGAGGGACAATTGGCAAGGTCACCCAGCTGCACAGAGCTGGGACCAAATCCGGGCTGTCTGAGCTCAGAGGTGGGCCTGCACACCCTGTCACATGAATGGGCCGTGCAGTGAATGAATGAATGAATGAATGCACAGGTGCAGACGCGTGTTTGCAAGACGCAGCTGTGCGCGAGTAAAATGTCCCATAGTCACAGCTCTAGAAATTAACTGCAGCTCAAGAAGGACGGAAGGAAAGTGCAAACAGAAGCAACTCAAAGGCAGTTTCCATTTAATCCTTATGACAAGGACAGGAGCTGGGTGTTGGAAGTTTTCCCTCTTCCAGATGAAAGGCTAAGTCATGAGGAGGTTTGCACAGCTAATAGATGGTAAATTTGAATTCGGACTGTCTGGATCCCAGATCTGTGCTCTTAACTGTCACAGATGCCACCACATCCCCTCTGGGGCTGCCCAAGGGGTCGGAGGGCCCAGCCTAAGGAGGAGGGGCCTAGAGGTCCTGGGTCTGGGTGGGGTGGCGCAGGGAGGTGGGGGCTCCAATGGACATCATAGCTCTGAAGCGCCGGGGTCCTGGCCCCCAGGTTCTGTGCAAGGTCTCCGTGGCAGCCTCCCATTTCGCCACCATGACCAACTTCAGCTGGCTGCTGGCAGAAGCCGTCTACCTGACCTGCCTCCTGGCCTCTACCTCCCCCAGCTCAAGGAGCGCCTTCTGGTGGCTGGTTCTTGCTGCCTGGGGTGAGCACGGAGGGCGGCCGGGCTGGACACGTAGGGGGGAGGTGGAGGGCTGCGGAGGCCCAGGGGGCTCACACAAGGGCCCTTGCCCCTCACCAATGGGCACCCTGGGGCTCAGAGAGGGGAAGGGGCGCTGCGGTCCTGCAGCAAGTGCGGGAGCGGGCTCTTCGCAGTGCCGAGTGGGGGGCGGTGGCGGGGTAGGGGTGGGTGGGGGCTGATCTCAGAGCCAGGGACACAGCCCGCTCTCCCCGTCCCCTCTGCGCCCCACAGGGCTGCCCATGCTGCTCGCCGGCACGTGGGTGGGCTGCAAGCTGGCCTTCGAGGACATCGCGTGAGTCTGAGCGGACCCCCGGGGCCAGCAGGGGCGGGGACGGGCGGCTCTCCAGGCTGGGAGGAGGAGTAGGAAGAGGAGGAGGAGGAGGAGGAGGGCCCGGCTCTGCTGAGGGTGGGGGCCTGGTTGGCAGTCTGGATAGCTCAGAGGGGGCAAGAGCCTGGCGGTGGGGGCTCCTGAATAAGGGACGTGTTGGGGCCAGTAAGGAGGCGTCGAGCAGGCCGATTTTAGAGAAGTTTATTCATTTAGGTGGAGAGCAAGGGTGAGCCCAGCCTGGATTGGGCGCCCCTTTGGAAGGGGGACCCAACTGGCTGAGACAGGAAAGAAGGCTAGGGGGGTGCGGTGAGGCCGGAAGGCGTGAATGCCCGAGACAGGAGAGGGGCCGCCTGGGAGGCGGTGGGCAGAGCGGAGAAAGGGGAGGTGCGTGGGCGTCTTTGCAGCCACCGCCTTCTTCGGGTCCTCTCCAGGTGCTGGGACCTGGACGACAGCTCCCCCTACTGGTGGATCATCAAAGGGCCCATCGTGCTCTCCGTTGCGGTCAGTCCCTGAGAGTTTCCTTTGTTTTATTCAGTCAACCTCTCTGGACCCACCGAGGGGCCGTGCACAGCAGGAAACACGACTCCAAGCTGGGAGTCTGGCCACTTGGGTTCCAGCCTTGCTGTGCCCCTGATTTTCCGAGGCCCTCTCTGGGTCACAATATCATGGTAAAGCCAGGGGCGGGCCTCGACCTGCACGCAGGCCCCTCTAGCTCAGGGTTTGCAAGAGTCTGGGGTGCTGGTTGCAGATCAGGTCCCGCTGCTGGGAGATGCTGGGGCTTTGGGGGGAAATCCACCGAGCCTGCCTGCCACCTGGAACCCGGAGGCAGGGAGGACTGCTTTGCATGGGTTTGATAAATGTGCAAATTTGTCCCAATTTAGCAATTGTGCAAAATGAGGGGGGACACCTGCCTTGTGACAGGAAAGAGCCTGGAAGTGGCTGGAGGCCGGTGGCAAGGCCTGACCCTGGAACCCCGGCTCCCAGGACTGGAGAGGAGGAGGAGCCCGAGGCCCCCTCTGCCCTCCGGGGCTCACACGTGGGACCTCCCAGCCTCCAGGCTCCAGATTTTGGAGCGGCAGTCTGTGTGACCCTCTGCCTGCACATCCCTGTGTCTCAGGGATTTGGGGTTTCTAGACCTCAAAGGGGCAGGGCCCCATCTCAGGCCACCCAGGGCTATCCCAACGCTTGCCCTCCATCTTCCTACACCTCTATTTTTCAGGTGAACTTTGGGCTTTTTCTCAATATCATCCGCATCCTGCTGAGGAAACTGGAACCAGCTCAGGGCAGCCTCCACACCCAGTCTCAGTACTGGTACAACATGTGTGCGTGTGTGCATGTGTGGGCATGTGTGTGCGTGTGTGCATGTGTGTGTGTGTGTGTGTGTTTTAAGGGGACGCTGGAGGGGGACTCAATGTGGTCTGTCTCGTCCAGCAGGCATTCGTGATCCCGGCCCCATGCTCTTCCCTGTGTTCCCAGAGACAGTATAGATCTGGTCCCTGCCTGCTAGGGGACCACCATATGGGTTTTGAACTCCTGACCTTGAGCAATCCGCCCGCCTCGGCCTCCCAAGAGCTAGGATTACAGGCGTGAGCCACCGCGCCCGGCCTGGGACCACCATATGGGAAGGACAGGGACTCCAAAGAGCCAGTTACCAGGCCAGATAGACCAAGTGCTGGGATCAATGTCTATGGGAGCCTGGGGAGGGAGATCCTCTCTAGATAGGGTTAAAGGGAAGGTCAGGAAAGACTTCCTGGAGGAAGGGATCTTTGAACTAGACTTTGAAAGATGCATAGACTTTGGAATAACCTGGGACAAGAGCACTTGGCAGAGGGAACAGCAGGATCTAGGGCCCCAACGCAAGGGAGCCCATGGGGAGGCGGAGCTGCCCAGGTGGCTGGTGCACAGGGCGGACACGGAGGTGGTGGGAGAGGGAAGAGACAGGGTGCACACCCGGGTTTCTGATCCCAGCCTTGGGAGCCTGGGTTCTGTCTTTCCTGCAGGCGTCTCTCCAAGTCAACGCTTCTCCTCATCCCACTGTTTGGAGTTCACTACATCATCTTCAACTTCCTGCCCGACGATGCTGGCCTGGGCATCCGCCTCCCCCTGGAGCTGGGACTGGGCTCCTTCCAGGTGAGGCCGCCACAGGCAGTCTGTCCCTCCATGTCCTTGGGCAGGAGAGAGGTGCTGTTGCCCTCAGGTCTTGGTTGACATCATGGTAGGGTGAGGGCTACTCCTATTCATCCATCTATCCAGCTCTCCATCTGTCCATCTTCCTTCTATCCCTCTATGGCTCTATTCATTCAACTTCCCATGCACCTGTCTACCCATCCATCTAATCGCTCATCCATCCATTCTACCTATGCAACTTTTACTGAGCCCATATTATATGCCAAGTGATGTGCTCATTATGGGGATACAGAAATAAAGAAAGTCAGAGAAATGGGGCCAACAGACAGCCCTGGCAGGCTTGCTATGAAAATTATATGAGACCATCTGCCTGGCTCATAGTAAGTGATGAATGCATCTAAATTTCCTTTGAACACAGACCTGGCCCAAGCCACAGCCTGTGGTGGATGGGGAAAAGGTAGTAGAAAAACTGTGGACGCTTGAGGCCAGGCCAAAGTGTTCTGATGGGGTCCTTCCACTTTGTCCTCACAGGGCTTCATCGTTGCCATCCTCTACTGCTTCCTCAACCAAGAGGTGTGTGACTCTCCAGGCTACCCCTTATTTATTGAGCCCACCTTCCAGCTCGGGCCACACTTTGACTGCTGTGATCCTTTGTGGTGGTTTGTCTTGAGCTTCTGGATCAAGCTGAACCTGAATGCTTCCTGTAAACATCTTTTCTCCATCCTGCATCTGAGCTGGGCCAAGTTCAACCATCCACTCACCAGGAGGTGGAGCAGACCTTTCGGGGATCAGGAGAGGGATCAAGGCGGGGAGTCTAAAGGGACCCCCCCCATTCTGTGTCCCTAAACTTGAACATAAGGAAGAGTGGGGGAGGGCGTATGTCAGTTGGGAGAGAGACAGTCAGAGGGAACAGAGACAGGAACCGAGAAAGTCATAGGTAGACATGCAGGGACCTAGGCAAATAGAGTCAGACGCAGAGACCGGGAGAAATACCCAGGGCAGAGCCGGGGAAACGGAAAGCACCGGGATGAAAGACACACAAAGAGAACAGACATGAACAGACAGAGCAGACGGTGCCGCCACACCTGCAGAGACATGGTAAGACGGCAGAGACAGACGAGATGTGGATTCCACCCAGAAGACACCCAGTTTTCCCCTTGCTCCAGGGAGAGAGACGGGAGAATTTATCTCAGTGCCCAGACTCCTAGACCCCACTGTTGTGTGTGCGGTCAGGTCACGGGCTCTGCTGGAGACCTGGCTGCATGTGCCCCGTCCCCTAGCTGTGGAGTATTGCTCCCCCCAACCCCGGCACCTCTGTCCCTAACTGCTCCTTCCCCCCGACTCTGCACTCCTAACCCAGCCTCTCTGAGTGTCATACATCCTTATCTGGCCTCTGGGTTGCAGACACAGGACCACAGTGTGTGGGTGTAACACGCCATGGGCCCTGGGGACCCCAGGAGGGGTGAGAAGCAGCCCTGGCCGAGGCTGCTGGGGTCTGGGGATGGAGTTTCCACAGAGAGTTGTGAGAGCATCTGTCTCAGGAAGCAGCATTGGAGACCAGATGGTTACATACCTCTGGTGCTGGGGAGCTTACTCCCTACCAACAGCTCTTTCTGTGGTCAGACAGCTGTGGGTAAGATCATCTTTATACTGAACAGAAATCTGCTTCCTTTTGCTCTGTCGCTGCAGCCCTAGCGGTTGGTCAGCTCTGTGAAGTGGGTCCTCACCTCTCAGCCCCCTCTTCTCCCTGACAGCCCCTTGAATTTGTGAAGATGCAGATGACGCCCCGCCAGTCTCACCCTCCCACCCCAGGCTACTTCTCTTTCAGTTCCCTTCAGTTCCCTCAACTGCAGCCCCTCAGACAGAGTTCTGAGTCCCCTTCCACTTGGGGTCATGTCCTCTGGACAGATTCACAGTGGCCAGAGTTGAACTCACAAAATCGAACCCCAGAGCAGGGGCTGGTCTAAGTCATTCAGGGAGAACAGAGTGGTTATTTGGCCAGGAACTCAAGCAAGCATCCATCAATGTCTCACTTGGGCTCAGACACAGGCAGTGCTAGAAGGTCAAGAAAGGAGCTAAAGGGAGTGGCAAGAAGTACTCACAGGGGACAGTGTCCTCCAGAGGCTGCACGTGGCAGTGCCTGTGGCCGACCATGGCTTTCCCTGCCCTGTGTCCTGATTCCCCTGCGTGTCTTCTCCCTGCACCCTAAGTCCCATTGAGGTTGAGTAGCTAAGCTGCAGTGGGACCTTCCTAACATCCTCTCCCTTGTCCCTGGAGGTGAGGACTGAGATCTCGCGGAAGTGGCATGGCCATGACCCGGAGCTTCTGCCAGCCCGGAGGACCCCAGCTAAGTGGACCAGGCCTTCCTGCTTGGGGGTGCAGGTGCTGACATCTGTGTGCTAGGCTGGCCCCATCGTGCGGCTGGCGTCCACACCTGAGCCCGGGCAGCTGCAATGAGTCTGTCGCCCTGTGGAAGAGCAACAAGAGAGCGCCTGGCAGACGTCAGCCCCCTCCTCCATTCTCTCCCTCCCTCCCTCCCCACCAAGCTGCTGCCCAGCCCTGGACAGGGGTGGCAGCCTTTCCTCCCTGCCCCTGCACTGGACTCCTTCCCTAGGCCCCTGCACACCTGCCTCTGACTTCCTCGGTTCCTCTGTGTCTGTCCTCACCGGTTCCTCTTCCTAGGGTCTGGGGTTGTAGCCCAAGGCCCAGAAGAACCAATAAACTCGTAAATAAATAGATACATGTTTGAGTGAATAAATGCACCTTTATAGGTGAGAGGGCCTACATCCTTTATTTGCAGCTCCAGTGCGCAGTTGCATTTTTCATTCTTCAGTTCACGCCACATTATAATCATTTGTCTGTGCAGGGACCCTCTTGCTTTATTTATTTTGAAAATGTACTCTCTTTTGTCCCAACTCACACTCCCATGCATGCCCCTCCTTCCATAGGCAAGCATGCCAATGTGTTTCATGTGAATACACATGCATACTCTGTGTGCATCTTGCAAAATCTGTAGGGTTTTGTGTGTCTGTGCTTTTAATTCACACACGTGCTATCAGTTATATGCCCCATCCTGCCTCTAACAATTCCCCCTCAGCACCGTGCTTGTAAGCGATCCACTTGTGTTGCCCTGCATGCATCCGGTCTGTTGTTTTGACTGCATATGGAGCCACAATGTGTCATCGCTTGTGTGTTACTGTTCTGTCCTGGCTCCCCTGCCCTCCAGGTGAGCATTCATATGCCCGCCCCCCAAGGGCCTTGTGAGAGTGAGCCTTTCTCCAGGACCCAGGAGGAGCGATGCCGGGCAGCAGCGTGCCTCTTTTTGCTGTGACTAAGGCGTGCCAGATTGCTCGCCTGCAAATCTACACTCCCGCCAGCAGCTCTCCAGGCTCCTGAATCCCCGCAGCCCCACCAGCACTTGGCGTGTTCCAGCTTTTGAATGTCTGCGAGCCAAATGGGTGTAAAGTGACATCGCGTTGTTGCTCTAATTTGCATCTCCCCAATAACTAATGAGCATGAACGTCTCTTCTTGGGCCTGTTAGCCTTTTGGGTTTCTTCTTCCCGATATTGTCTCTTTCCCTATTTTTCTCTGGGGTGGACATTCCGCAACTCCAGGTCTTTCTCTTATGTCCTCGCCATTACGTGCTCTCCCAGGCCCCAGCCTGCTGCCTGCTGCCCCCCGTCCGAGTGCGGGCCCCCCAGTGTAACGCATCACCATGGTCCATCCCCCGTCCAGCCCCCTCCTTGGCAGGAGGGAGGAGAGACCTGGGCGCTGTCCACCGGACCTGTCTGTTGACTGGTGGGGCTGGAGGGAGATTTCAGTATGGAGAACAGACAGAAAGGGACACTAGGCGGGTCAGAATGAAATCCTTCCTCTTCCTGGTCTACCCACAGCGGATCTGTCCTGAGGAACTGAGTTCCATTCCCCCACCTCCAGGAAGCCTTCCCTACAACCCCAGCCTTCCCTGACATTCTTTCTCTTTTGCCCACTACCCCGATGAAATGCTCTAAAATTAGGCGGTGATGGTTGCAAACTCTGTGAAAATATGAAAAACCACTGAATTGTACATTTTAAAAGGGTGAACTTAATAGTATGTGAATTAAAATTCAACAAAGCTGTTCTTTAAAAAAGAGTAAATGTATTGTTGTTAGACAACACTTGTATTTTTTCTGCTACATAATTTGTGAAGTCCATATAATATTGTTTATTTAGCCAATAGTTATTTAACAACTCTATTGGTGAAAATTTCTCCCTATGTTTTTAAAATAAATAGTTGTGCTGATAAACTTCCTTGTACACAAGCCTTCATATACACCTCAAAAGAGAAAAACTTTAGAATAAACTTCTAGACTTTCCGAATAAATTTTCCTAGACCTAGAATGTTTGAGCCAATGCAATGCATATGATAAGTCTCTTAATACCTATTGGCAAATTGCCTTCCAGAAAAGTTGTCTAGTGCATTCTTGCACACAGTGTTGGCATGAGGGTTTTTCTGCTTGATTGTTATCATTAAAAATATCTTTGTATCTCTGAGTTTTAACTAGTGTTAGCGGTGCTAGCTGTGGTGTTAGCACAGCGGTGTTAGCGGTTATGCTAGTTAGCTTAGTTAGTGCTAATTAATGGCTAGTTAGTGGTTAGCATCAATTAGTGGTTAGTGAGAGTGGTTAATTAGCAGTTAGTGTTAGCAGCCAGTGATTAGTTAGTGAGTGGTTAGTGTAAATTAATATTAGTTAGTGGTTCTTATTAGTGGCTAGTTAGCAGTTCGTAGTTAGTGATTAGTGTAAGTTAATGTTAGTCATTGGTTAGTGTTAGTGGTTAGTTAGCAGTTAGTGGTGGCAGTTAGTGGCTACTTAGTGGTTAGTGTTAGTTAATGTTAGTGCTTTGTTGGTGGTTCATGTTAGCAGTTAGTGTTAGCAGTTAGTGGTTAGTGTTAGTTAGTGGCTAGTTAGTGGTAGTAGTTAGTTTGGGGTGTCGGCAGTGCTGGATGCAGCTCACTCGGTGAATCACTCACCCCTTCCCTCAGGTGTCACCATGGCTGCAAGTCCACCTCTCCCTCTCTTTTAGTTTCAACTGGAGCCTCAAATTCCTGCTACTCTTCTAGTCTCTCCCCTGGCAGGGATCTGTGGATTGGGGCTACCTGCGGGTTCCTGGGCAGATCCCTTGACTGGCAAACTCCTCCTCTCTCAGGACCTCCGCTTCCCCATCTGTAGCAGGAGGGGCGGCTCAGCGAGTGACGTCTGAGACATTCTGAGAAGGGACACCTGACTGCTGGCGGAGACGTAGGGTGAGAGGCGCAATGCGTACTCTGGCCACCAGGTGGCAGACTCACCGCGGCCAGGAGCCCTGGCTGGGCGGACCTGTCCCCGGGCGAGGCGCTGGTGCTGGAGACTGACCCCGCGAGCCTACCGGGTGGTGGAAGAAGGGACAGGGGTCGGACAGCGTAGGGGGTGGGGTAGGAAGCGCCTGAGGGGGGCAAGACATCTCCAAGCCCCCCAGACTCTGGTCTGGAGGAGTAAGAAGCAGATAAGAAGCTGAGAGCAGGAGAGACAGGAGAACCAGTGCCCGCTGGAGTCTCTGTGCGAGGTTCGGACCAGAAGGGGGACTCCCCGGGCCCCGGCTTTCTGTGGGCAAGGCAGGATTGCCCGCCATCCACTCCAGCCTCCTCCATCCACCCAGCCGCCCATCAGGCACTGCCAGGAGAGTTTCCTGAAGGGAAGGAAGTCACTCCCCTTCCCTCCCCTTGTGCTTGGGCTCCCTACTCTGTGAGGAGGAGGAAAAACGGGGGGCCCATTCTCTGTCCTTGGAGAGCCCTCACGAGTGTCAGGAAGACCCCCAGGGATGAGCCTGAGCCTGGATGCAAGAACCAGAGTGTAGGGCTCAGAGGACAGGGTGTGGGTGAGGCAGGAGCAGTCAGGGAAGGCTTCCTGGATGAGGGGACTCAGGCAGGGGTGTAGACCTTAGAACCCCACCGGGCCAAGGTGCACAGCAGTCCCTTCCCACCACCTGCTGGGCAGGAAGCAGGAATATGGCTGACCCCAGCCTGGGGAGCAGTGCCTGGGGGAGGGGTCTGGCAGGAGGGTGGGTCCATGGGCCTTCCACGGCACTCCTGCTAGCGTCTGGTCTGCGGGCCCCACTCATTCACTCAAACACGGGAGGTGTTTACTCAGTGCCTGCTTAGGCCACACTTATATATGTGTGTGTATATGTATGTATGTGTGCACGTGTGTGTGTGCGCGCGCGCGTGCGTGTGTATAAAGTGGTTCTATTTCTCTGGAGAATCCGGATTAATACAGAGGGTATTAGTCAGGGCTCTCTGTTGCAAACAACAGGACCCACTCTGGCTGGGTTAAGCAAAAACAGGACATATCCAAGGACACTGGGTAGCTCACCTGTCTTCAGGAAGGCCCAGAGGCGATGCCGCCAGGAGCAGCGCCCATCCCACACCGGGAATTCCTCACCCATCACTCCTGGTGGCAGACACAGCTGCTCTCTCCAGGGACATTGGGGATGGAATGCCAGAAACACCACATTGCTGCCCTGAAAAGCCAAACTCCTCCACTGCCATGTTTGCCGAAAATTCAATTCCACCTGGCACCAGCTTCCTATTATTGCTCTCTTTCCGACCTAAGTCCCACAGGGCCACCACTGGTGGGCACAGCCTCGTGACCCTGCCCACCAGCTGCAAAGGGGGCTGGGACAGCAAGTTCCCACTTCTACTTTGGAGAGGGCCCTCATGCTGTGGCGAGTTTCTCCAACAGAGGACGGGCATTGAGAACGTGCTGGCCACAAGCACGACAGGTATGTAGTGCAGGGAGACAAACATGCCTGCCTCTCCGATTATTGTGTAATAATGGTGGTAGGTGCACAAAAGAGGGGAGTATTGAGAACAAATATCTCGAGGCCCAAACGTAGTCTGGGGGTGTAAAAATTAAAAAGGATTTCTGGAGGAAGCCATAGCCAAGCTCAGATTAGGACTATGAGTATAAGTTGGCCAGGTGAAGGGGTGGATGAAAAACCTGGGTAGAAAAGACAGCCATGCAAAGGCCCTGAGGTGGGAAAGAGCTTGGTGTCGGCAGGGGTCGGGGGTGGGGGGAGCTTCAGGTTAGCTGCTGTGGCTGGAGCTTAGTGAAAGCAGGGGAGAGTAGGGACGGGCAGCACCCGGATCTCACAGGGTCAGGAAAGCCATGCTAAGGAGGTTTTATCCCAAGGGCTATTGGAAGTGTGGGATAGAACAGGGCTTGTTTTCCAAATGATCCCTCTGACCAGCGTGTGAAGATGGAAATTCAGCAGAGACCTCAGCTGGAAGCCAGGGGACTCGTCGGGTTTGCCAATCTCATTCTGAGTTCT